CCCAGTTTAGCTAAAGAACTCGTCTACTTACGCCTCAATTTAATATCCTCTTCCATCCAAGTGAATCAAATGGTAAAAATACTAAAGTGCAACGTACCCTTTTGATGAAAAAAAAGCAAAAATTGCACACAAGACTTATGAATGATTAATTTTACCTATTGAATTGTAAGATTAGTGAAAATATCAAATGCGAGTATAGCATCACAAGACACGAGTGGCCTTGTGATCGGCAGGCGAATGATCTAGTCGAAATTCATAGACTAGAATAACTAATTTTTTAACATGAAACCGATAGACATCTATGGCATTCAAATTTGGACTTGGCAAAGGGGTTTGAAGATTATTATATAAATGTGTATTTTCTTGCTCCATTACAACCGAAAAACATTCCAATTCATTTTTGGACCCTCTATATCTATATAGACCTCTATATCAACCTGTGTTTGGACTTAATTTAAAGCAGAACCAGACCTTATTCAAAGGTCAAAATCATTGTGATTTGCATGAAAATGTAGTGATATTTAAAATAGAATGAATGAAACAAAATGTACAATAACCATTCTCAAAGATGAGAGTAAAGCTAAGAGAAAGGTTTTAATGCAGTCTTAGTGGCTACTAGAACAGATAAAAAAGATTTGTAGGCACTAAAACCCTTCGTCTATTGGAAAAGGGCCCCTTATCCTGATTATGAAATGGCTGGCAGCATCGGTTCCCTGCATTTTATCAATGTTAAATCAATCAACGCATTTTGTATGCTCACACAGTGTCATATAATAGAGATGCAAATGACAAATCATGTAATGTTGGTGTACAAAATATGAATGAAACTGGAGGAACAAGTGAGAAACGAATGGTGCATATATATAATTAAATGATAGTAAAGAGAAAAATGCAACCAAGGTAGTGTAAGATGTAAGCAGTTACAGGTAGTTTGGAGAACTATCCAGTCCGCACAAGTCGGGTGAGAATATGGTTGCAAAGGTAGCCTCAGAAATACTGAAACTAAAATCACGATCGTCTAACAACCACACCACTACAATATGCTCTTCCTCAATTCATAATGGACCCAATTTACTTTGATCAAAAGAGAACAGAAAAAGAGAGGATGATCTGATGATAATACAGTGACGACTACTGCTGTAGAGCAAATGAGTCAAGGGCAACAAAAACTTTGTAATAGAGGCGTGAAAACTAGTTTGCCAAAATACTTGAACTGGGAATGAGCCCATAGTCAGGCGAAAAAGAATATCATAGGCGCAAAACAGCATGATGGGCATATAAAAACACGTGGATATTGAAAAATTGCAAACGGAGTAATAAAGAGGGCACATAAAGACTAGATAATGCAACGGAAAAGATAAGGGACACTTTGTGAAGCGAGATTGAAGTAAGGAATAGTATTCAGCAAAGCTGCTGTCTTCTTCACGACCTAGCAGAACGAGCTGAATTGTGCATATGGATATATATATATATATATATATATATATTAGCGCACATATGGAAAAAAGAAAATTTGTCAGGAAAAGATTAGGAGATATTCCCGCTTTGAAGAGGAATCGGCTGGAGGCCAAAAATACTCAGTCACCGGTAACAAAGATCGCCTCATAGAACCAAACTCGCATCTATTGGGAAAAGCCAATTAACAGCGTTTCAAATATAGATATAGAAAGTAAATGCCTGGGGCACAGCCCATACCTCATAGTGTGCAAGAAATGAGGTGGCAAAAAATCAATGCAGGGTACCCAAGACCGGATATGAAAACACCGTAAGGATAGATGAGATGGGGAAATAGCATGAAAGGAAAGCTCCGGATGATTTGTATGGTTAAGTGTGGCATAGGTACATGTATGGACAACTAGAAGTTATCGAGACAAATCAATACGAGTGGCAACGGGCTAGATTTTTGCAGATGAACGTGATGGTGGTGGCTGTGATGGTGAATACTGTAACGATTGGGGTGGCAACGCTGAGTTTGAAACAGAAAATAAAGTCGGATATGTGGAGGGAGGGAGACTTGTAGAGGTAGCGAGTTGCTGCTTTTGAAATAAGTAGGGCTCAGGAGCCAGTTCGAAATGAAGCTGGTTTTTCCGTTGAATACTTGAGTGACCGTAATGGCAGCCAAGGCGGGGCAAGAGAGGGGTTGAAAGGTGACATTCACACTGACAGTCGGGTAAGCGGCCACACCACTCAAATGGTAACTCCCAGGATGGTTGCGGATGAGACAGGTAAGGATATGGACGTTTGCTAGGCCCATTTTGCTTAGAGTCAACACTAGTCTCAAGAGGAGGAGGCAAGAACGAGACTAAAGCAGAGGAGGCAACAGCAGGAGACAGCAGCTGTCGCTTGGCTGGTATAAGATATTCATCGGCAGCAATTGCTGTTTGGGGGGTGCTGTCAACTGTCGGTGGGAAAACTATGTTCTGAGATATAAGAAAACTTTGGGGCCCGTTCGAAAGACCTGTGGCATACGTCTTATTAGGAAGAAGGTAGGTATAGTTTACGCAGCTATCTATTAGCCGACCCATGTAATCATCCAAGTTCGGATAGATCCGATTGTGAGGAAGACCAGGAGGCAGCTGGCATCGTTCTGTGCATAGAAGAAAGGAAGAGAGCACATTTGTACAGTAGATGAATCATATTAAAAAGATTAACAGGTGCCTGAATTTGGCAAGGATTTATGATTAAGTAATATTAAATCTGAATACAAATTTGCCACTA